TAGGTCATGGAAGTTATCGATCGATCCCTCGGTCAACCGCGAGAACCAGGTTAGCGCTGATCCGGAGAGGCTTTCGATGAAAAGTTGGCAGAAACCCGCGTCTTTTTCTTCGTCGGAGAAGTTCGTTCTGCCCATCGCTATGTTGAACGCTGTCACGTGATCCGTCGGATCTGTCTCGCCGGCATACGTCGGGAGACGGAGCTTGTTAATTTTCTTGATTTTGGTATCCGTGATTCGCTTCGTGAACGGATTCTTTAGTGTGGTAGCGAGGACGCGTTCGATCTCCGGCGCTGAGGTTGTGACATGGTGTATCTTAGAGTGAATGTCTTTCATCGACTTTCGCAACTCGTCGATCTAGGATTTGGTGGCCGCGTCTAGTCCATCGGTCGTTTGACCGGCGAGGTTAGCTTCATTAGCTGCGCCACCAATCGCAGGACCGGCTCCGGCAGGCGTCGGGTTCGTTGAAGTAAAGAGTAGTCGGCGTCTTGCTGTCTCTGTGTCTCCTGTGTCACCGTCGGTCGCGGCGAGAGCGGCAGCAAGTGCGGTTAGCCGCTCGTTCATGACTCTGTTCGTTTCCTCCTGTCGTTCGAGGTGGTTCATGATACGCTGCATCATATCGTCGGCCGCCGGAGTTACGGCGACCGGTCTCTGTCCCGGCGCGTCGTCGGTGAGAGAGTCGTCGGGAGGCATACTGATTTCGTTAACGNTGATTTCGTTAACGCTACTTCGTAAGGCCCCACGGTGGGCGCCAAATGTTGAATCCGAGTTTTGTACGGTCGACTGACTGGAAAACTAAACTCGATTTGTGGGTTCTTCGAAGGCGTTTTATTAATCAGAGTTGATAATAAGAGAAGATTACAGAAAGATTCAAGGAAAGAACAAAGGTCGGAGCTTTATGAAAGTCCGACCGAATTACAAAGAGGTTCGATCGTCGGTAAAATCCTAAATCTCGCCGTCAGTGTTCTTGTCTCAATTTTCGGATCCCTTTTCCTTTTGCCCTTCCACTTCCTTTTATAGCTCTCGCTTGACCCTATTGTCTTGCTCGTTCGCCCTAGGAGGTTTTGGGCCTAAAACCGTTTGATGGGCTTTTATTCAGGGATAAGTCGGTCGACCGTCGCTGCCCGGTTCGACCGGTTTATTATGATAATCGGTGGATTAATTGTCATTTAAACCGTCCGTCTTCCTAGCAGACTTTGCTTCTGGGCCGCTTATGGACGACGATCGGTTGGACCTAGTTATTTGATGGGCCTAATGGGGAGGTATGGAATTCCTCTCCTACAGGTTCCAGAGCCTGTTAAACAAACATAAAACGAAAAACAGAACAATATTATGCTAGAGTGTAACCATACCACTTTCAGATGAAAAAGGCATGACCCATCTTTGTAAGTCTTGTGCCTTGGAAGTTGCTTAAAAAATCCTACACATGAATATAAAAAATCCTTTACTATCGTTTTTCAGAAACCTCAGATCATGCCAAAGCCATTTATTTAACCAAAATGATTTGCTCAGATCACGGAAGCATAACATAATAATTTTCTAGTAACCTATTAAGTTGCAGAACCGTGTCATATCCTAGCCACTACCTAATCGAAACGACCCAATGCAACGCTATGTGAATATGTTACACAACCTGAGGTAGATAAATGCATAAAATCAAAATTAATGAGCCAATGATTCGGTTACAAAGGGTCAAAACATTGCTTGAGGGCAGTATATTCAACCAAACAGCAAGAAAACTTTACTTTGTTCTTGATAAATGTATCAAAACTACTACTGATGATTTCCATCAGTTCATAAAAGAGCCACCCACTAAAAGTGCTAAGCTGAACTTTATTACCTTCAGACTCTTAAGTTGCTGCAAGTTGCTGAAGAGCTTTAAGAGGGTCCATGATGACACCATCTATAAGCCCATAATCTTTTGCCTCTTTAGCACTCATGAAGAAATTACGGTTAGTGTCTTGGTTTATCTTCTCCAGGCTTTGAACAATCTGGTAAGCGAGGTAACCGTTTAGGTTTGCCTTGTGGTGCAGCATTTCATTTGCCTGCTCTCAGGCCGTGAATTTGGTTATTATTTTTTAAGAAAACAACAAATTGTTATCAACACAAAATTAAGAAGGAATGACAGAGAAATAAGACGTTGATAAATGACTTGAATGTCTGTCTATAACAGTCTGGCCACCTTGAGCTCCACCAAGCGGCTGATGGATCATTATCTTTGAGTTTGGTAGACTGTATCTTTTTCTTGCAGTTATGACAAAAATAAAGCTAAAGCTTGCGTCTGGAAATTTAGAAGAAAAAGACTTAAAACTAAAGCATTATATGACACTCTTAAGGCTACATATAACAGAGGACTGCACGAGAATGAAACTAAGAACAAACGAAAAAATTGAAATGAAATACACAACCTCTAGAGTGACTTTCAAGCTCACATCAACCTCCAAAAACGGCTCTGGATCTTCCATGTTCCAGGTCATGCAGTTTGTCATAACCGCTGCCAGCCAAAAAGGGAAAAATCATATATATCAAGTTAAGAAACCTCAGACTCGAGCAGTGGTACTTTCAAATGCTTTGTTTACCTGAAAACCTTCCCCTTTGGTTCTCCAATAACTCTGATTCTTCCAACTTTCAAGACAGAAGATCAAAAGTTCAAAACATAAGTCGGTAAAGATATAGATAACAACATAATGGGTCTTTTTCACTCAACCTTGCAGGAAAGCAGCTCAACTGTACAACCTTCCTGTGTGAGAACGACCCTCAAAACCAGTACTGGAGAAACTTCAAAGCTCATTAACTGAATTTTTGGCAATGTACATCTGCACTGTAACACAAAGTTTTACCAACTCCCTTCCTCACATAAAAACATACTTTCCATATAACTCAGCTAACATATTACATATACTAATATTCGAGAACGGTAGTTAGGTGCTCAATAGAAGACTAGCAAGTACACCGACTTTTAGAACATTATTATCTACATAAATAACACTAAGTTTACTATATATTATCCACTTACTACATTTACTATCTATGTCTAAAGATACACTCTTTAGATATTTCTGCTTACATATACAACATTGCCTATTTAAACATCAAAAAAATGAATAGGCTACAAACACACATGCAAAGAAACCTTTATGCGAAACAAAGCCTTGCTGAAACATGAACAAAAAGAGAAACTTTTAGGTTACTTAAAAGAGAGAACATGTAAGTATTGGCATCATCATCAACTAACTGATAACTCTCCAAAGCTTTGGCGTTGATAACAGCCTCCATGTCAGAAGGGTGTTTCAAGAACTCACTGAAAGTGAGCTCCTTTTCTTCATTACTGTTTAGCTTGATTCTCTGTTTCCTAGAAGCAGAGAGATTCGCTTTCTTTGAACTTGAAATTACCATTGCTCAACGAACATAACTACCCAAATGGATTCTCTCCCTGAAAACAGAGCACTTCCTCAAATCAAATCACTAATATAGAAAAAAGGAGAAAACTTTGACATGTAAACAGAGTCTAAAGACCTGGGGATTGCGTTAGGGTAAGATCTGAGTAAAGACAGGAACTTTCTTGGTCCTTGTGAAGTTATGGAAGTTCTCCATTCGTTGTGAATCGCAGTGTTCATGTTTCTATGAAGGTTACTTACTTTTTGAGGATTAAGGAAACAGAGGAAGCTCTGTTTCTTAGTTGATTTGTGCTAGAACAAAAGTTTTATCACTTCTTTTCTGCTCTTGGACGATCATCGTCGTCGATGGGAACAAATCTGATAAGCTCGTGACTTATCTCGTGTGTAACAGAATAGAAAGAGAGAAAGAGAGAGAGAGAGAGAATCAGATAAGAGGAAAGTAATATTGTAATTAATTCTTGGATAAAATGTCAATAGGGAATCATCTCCCTTTAAGTAGTCATACACACTCTTAAAACGACATCACATTATTAAAGGCAATACATAAAATAATTCCTCCAAAGCCTCCTTTTGACAAGGAATCTTTCCCACTCTACTTCACTTCTCTCTTAGCCACTTCCACGAACCATCTTCTTGGACCTGAACTTCTTCTGTGTAAATGCCAATGGCACTGCCAACTTATCAATACCCTCCCGTAAGAGACACAGCTTGTCCTCAAGCTGGAAACTCGGATACTGCTCCATCAAGCGCTGAACAGGTTCCCAAGTACACTCAAAATCTGGCAAACCCTTCCATTTCACTAACACTTCCGCTTCCTTACTCTCACTGGACTTTCTAATCTGCAACAACTCTTGCGGCTCTGTGTTCCATTCCAGGGAAGAGGATAGGACTAAAGAGAGCTCATGAACCTGGTGGTTGGGTTCAACAGCTTGTTTAAGCTGGGAAACATGGAACACGGGGTGTATCACACTCTGAGGTGGTAAGTTCAGTTTGTAGGCAACTTTACCAATCCTTTGCACCACCTGGTAAGGGCCAAAGTACCTTGGTGCTAATTTCTCCACACGCCGCATCGCCACTGATATTTGTCTGTACGGCCTGAGCTTAAGATAAACCCAATCTCCAACCTCAAACTGCACATCCCTACGCTTCTTATTAGCTGAAGCTTGCATCTTGTTCTGAGCCACTAGGAGATTCTCACGTAACTCCTTTAGCAAATCATCCCTACTCTGAATGATCAACTCTACTTCTGCATTTGCTGTCGGCACATCTCCATACCTTAGAATCTTAGGTGGATCCCTTCCATACAAGGCTTTAAAAGGAGTCATGTCAGATGAAGAATGAAAGGAAGTATTATACCAGTATTCAGCCCATGGTAACCATTGACTCCAAGAAGTTGGTTTTCTTCCAGCAAAGCACCTTAAGTATGCCTCAAGACACCTATTCACCACTTCAGTTTGCCCATCAGATTGGGGGTGATAGGCGGTGCTCTTGTGCAATGATGTTCCTTGACTATTGAACAAAGCAGACCAGAAGTTACTCAAGAACACCTTGTCTCTATCTGAAACCATTGTTTCAGGAAACCCATGAAGTTTTATCACCTCTCTGACGAAAACATCAGCCACTGACTTCGCTGTAAATGGATGTTTGAGAGGAATGAAGTGCGCATATTTAGTTAACCGATCGACCACCACAACGATAACATCAAAGCCTTTAGAGAATGGAAGTCCATCCACAAAATCTAAACTGATGTCAGACCAGACTTGCTTTGGAACTTGCAAAGGCGCTAACAGACCTGATGGAGACAAGGTTGAATATTTGTTCTGTTGGCACACCTCACAAGCTTTTATAAACTCAGTTATGTCCCTTTTCATTCCCTTCCAGAACACTTCCCGGGCCATCCTCTTGAAATTCTTTAAGACTCCTTCATGTCCTCCCACAGCACTGTCATGAAACTGTCTCATAAGTGCAGGAATGAACATAGATTTCTCGGGTATAACCAGCCTCCTGTCTTTGAACAAAACTCCATTCTCGACACTATATCCTTCGAACTCGGTTTCCTCTTTTAATACTCCTTGAATGATCCTCTGCAAACACTCATCCTTCTCTACTTGTAGAGCCAACTCGTCCATATCAATAGACAACGGAGCAGTCAACTGAAATTCCAACAACTCTAGTGATTTATTCTCAGCCTCAAATCTCCTCGATAATGCGTCAGCAAATCTGTTATCCTTTCCAGGTCTATACTCAATGGTGTAGTTGAGACCTAAAAGCTTCGATGCCCATTTTTGTTGCTCAACCGAGACGGCCCTTTGCTCCAAGAGGTGGCGCAAACTTTTCTGGTATGTTCTTATGGTGAACTGATTCCCTGTCAAGTAGTGTCGCCACTTTGTCACAACAAACACAATGGCCAATAGCTCACGCTCACACACAGACTTCACTTTTCCTCGACTTGAAAACCCCTTACTAATATAAGATATAGGTCGGTTTTCCTGAGACAGGACTGCTCCAATTCCCACTCCTGATGCATCTGTCTCGACAGTAAAAGGTTTAGTAAAATCGGGAAGGATCAACACCGGCAACCTGGTCATAACTTCCTTGAGTTTCTCAAAAGCCTGAGTAGCTGCCTCACTCCACTTAAACCCCTCCTTTTTCAGTAACTCGGTCAGAGGACGAGCTATCCTCCCATATCCTTCTACAAATCTTCTGTAATAACCCGTCAATCCTAAGAACCCCCTCAAAGCTGTAACACTCCGAGGTTGAGGCCACAACTTAACAGCCTCTATCTTCTCCGGATCTGCAGCCACCCCTTCTTTTGTGATCATGTGGCCCAAGTAAGCCACACTAGCCTGCCCAAATGCACACTTCTTTTCATTAGCATAAAATCGGTGTTCTTTCAGCAGCTGCAGCACAATTCTCAAATGCTCTTGGTGCTCCTTCTCATTGCGACTGTACACCAAAATGTCATCAAAGAAGACCAATACGAATTTCCTCAAATAGGGCCTGAAAATGTCGTTCATGACCGATTGAAAGGTAGCCGGAGCATTGGTGAGCCCAAAGGGCATCACCAAAAACTCATAATGTCCTTCATGAGTCTTGAATGCAGTCTTACCCACATCACCTTCTTTTACTCGAATTTGATGGTAACCAGATTTCAAATCCAGCTTGGAGAATACTGCTGCACCCGCCAATTCATCCAATAGCTCCTCAATCACTGGTATTGGGTATCGGTCCGGTATAGTGCTCTTGTTGACAGCCCTATAATCCACACAGAACCTAACTCCCCCGTCCTTTTTCTTGACTAGGAGAACAGGACTCGAGAACGGACTGATGCTTGGCCTTATTATTCCGGCGTTTAGCATCTCCTGTACATACCTCTCAATCTCGTTCTTCTGCAAGTGAGAGTACTTGTAAGGTCGGATATTAATGGGTGAAGTTCCTTCTTGCAAGGTAATCGTGTGTTCCCTGTTCCTTTTGGGAGGTAACCCGGCTGGCAGGTGAAACACACTCTTATACCTGAGCAAGATCTTCTTAATCTCTTCACTTTGTTCCTTCACTTTCTCTTGGCATGGGATGTTCTCAAATAAGGACTGTAACTCCAATAACCACACCTCATCATTCTGATCCAATAGCTTATCCATCGAGTTCAAAGACACCTGATCTCTCAACAGCGCTGGATCCCCTTTCAATGTCTTCCATTCATTGTTCTCCTGGAACCTCACCTCGTGCAATCCCCAATTTATTCTTGTTTCTCCCAACTTCTCTAACCACGGATACCCTAAGACCACGTCAAGGTTACCAAGCTCAAACAACATGTACTCCTCCTTAATGGTCACCCCTTGAATCTTTAGGGCAACTTCCTCACATTTCCCACTTCCATAGATTACTCTTCCGTCACCTATAGAAACTCCAAATTCCTGAGTAGGGACCACCGGTAATCCCAGCTGCTTCACCAAGTTAGTTGATATGAAGTTGCTGGAAGCTCCAAAGTCGATCAACACCAACACTTGCATCTCCCCTATTCGACCAATCAGCTTCAAGGTTCTTTTAGTAGTAATACCAGCCATTGATTGCAAGGATAGAACGTGGAGCTCTGGTCCTTGAGATCTTTGGCCTTCAGCATTCTCCTCCGCCTCCGGTTCCTCATCATCCTCCGGTTCGGACTCTTCCTCAACCTCCATACACTTAAACCTCTGGTACGCCTTGCAACGGTGTCCCGCAAAGTACCTTTCTCCACAGTGTCGACAAGGATTTTGTACTGTTTTCTTCTGATCCCCTTGTTTGTTGTCTCTTTGGGAATCCAAGGACTTACGCGCTGCAGAATAATCACCTTGTTTCGAACTCCCCGACCCATAACTCTTTTGGTTCGAGTTCAAGGCTGGAGCCGAGTTTGTTCTATGGAAGGATCTTGAGTGATAGGAGTTCTTATCGTTCTCCTGTTCCTCAATGATCTTTGCCATATCAACAATCTCATCCATTCCTACTGTCCGGAGCCTAACCACCTGTTCCCTCAAACTTCTCCTCATTCCATGTAAGAAAATCTTCTCTAACACGTCGTTTGGAACATGTGGAACTTCGGCCGAAAGCTCTTCAAAAGCCTCACGATACTCCGATATCGAACACGTCTGGCGCAAACGCAACATCTGGCTCACTATCGTTCCTCTGCGTGAGGGTTAGAACCTCTTCTTCAACTTCTGTTTGAAATCTCGCCAATCTAACAACTCCTCCCTATCCTGAATCATCCTCAACCAAGGAACCGCACAACCAGTCATACCAGCCATCGCTAAAGATAACTTGTCTTCCTCTGCAGTATGGTTGATAGTGAAACATTTCTCAACCCTAAAAATCCAATCATCTGGGTTTTACCCTCAAAATCTGGTAGATCCACCTTTTTGGGAGGTGTCTCACTCTTCGATTGAGGTGTGTACCCTGACGACTCACCGCGGTTGGGTGATAGTGGAAACGCCCTCTGCTTCGCACACCCCTCAGGTGACGGCAGAAGACCCTTCTCCGATCGGACCGGCGTGATGCGAAGCCCTTGGCTCGAACCTCCTTCCTCCGAGATACGCTTCTCTCCTGTCATCACTGCTTTCGACCCCAGATTTACCGCCGCGTGGTGGGTCTCTGGTTGAATCTGTGGCTGAAGTTGTTTCAGCAACGCCATGAGTTGGTTTTGTCGTTCATCCGCCTTCTTCTCCATCTCCAGGAACCGTTGATTAGTG